CCTTACGTTGACCCCACAAAGGGTGGAGACCCCAGAGGAGTGTAGTAGGTCAAGGAAGTTCTGATTTAGGTCAGACACTCCTAGAATAACAACCTTCCACATCATGGCTAAAATCAAAGATCAGAACAAACTAGGCCATGTCAACTTGCCACGACCTTTGTCTTATCAAAGTCAAGGTCTGCGCAAACCACCCTGACTTGACTGGATCGTATCCAACTGGCAAATACAAGTTATGAGTACAAAGAATTTAAGGCAAAACTGCCATGCAAGACCGAGAGTCTTGCTAATAATCATATATTATAGTTGATTTTAAAATTCAGAACTTTCTGGGAATGTGATCACCCATACTGAGTACCTCAAAAATAAATGAAAATAAACTATTAGATGTATTGTCCACATTGGAGAATATCACTCCTTTATAAAACGAAAAACGCAATGAAAAGACTGAGACATATAGTAAAAATCGTTATCAACTAAGAGTTCCTTAAGAATTTCCTGAGTAACACAGCAGAGAAAATTAGCTCCAAGGTAAAATAAATAATGTAATAGACGTGTAAAGTGACGGCAATGGCCTTGTGGTTAGGCTACCGGACTCGTAATCGTGAAGTGGCGTATTCGGGGGGTTCAAGACGCGGGCGCGATGTTGTGTCTTTGAGAAAAACATTTTACACGAATTTTCCTCACTTTCCCCAGGTGGGAATCTGTACTCGGCTATTGTCAGCGAAAGATCTTGTCAGTATGTTAGTGCTTTAGCGTCCATAAATGGCAGCTTCCCAAGAAGCTGAGTTTGTTTCAGAATGCTCTCAGGTCTGCTGGGGTAATAATATAGATTGTGAAGCGCATATAACTTGTTTTTGAGCGGGGATTTGCGCTATACGAATGCTATCTATTATTATATGTGCAGTCGCCTGCTGAACAGCCCCTGCATTATGCTGATGGCCTTAGATTAGATACAAATGATGCACGTTTTGTTAGCAAACTTTTTTTCCCGCAGATAGTAAAAAATAAACAGACTGGGGTATCCAAACTGGCCTCGGGAAATAGATTTGTAAATGCTTCGGTCTCATGTCTATTTTGGTTCCTTTATAACAGGCCTATTGTTTTCGTTCAATTTGGTAATAATTTTACGGTGCTCACAACTACAGAAGGTCATATGAGCGTGCGGGACCCAAGTTGCTAGTTTTGTAATTGGTCGGACAGCTGAGGATATTCTTTTAAAGAGGCGTGCTGCACAATGTGATTTCCAAGCTATTAAAAGCAAACAAACATCGGAGAGAAAGCCATGAGCAAGACCTTAGTAATGTGATTTCTGGCTGAGGCCATCGATGCGGATACATACGAGTAATTGAGGCCAACCTGTTTGAACAGTCCAGCCGCTCCCAGTGACTTGTTCGCTCCAGTAGCCAGATAAGGGGTCACTGGGAAGAGTGTCTACAGTGAACCAGTGCTCAGTCATTGGTCCATAGCCACATGCTTTAAACGATGTTTGATTCCAATTGGTAGCAAGTATCTGGAATAATAATTTTTTTTTAAAATTACTGTAGTACTCCTTCTGGACAGGTTTTAAACAAAAGTGATGCTCGTTTACCGAAAGTCCATTTCATATGTCAGCAAAACCAGAGAGAGAGAGAGAGAGAGAGAGAGAGAGAGAGAGAGAGAGAGAGAGAGAGGTGT